TTTTTTAAATACAATTTGTGCCTTTTTTAACCGATTCTGACCTCTGCCCTGTCAAGTGTTCGCGGACTTTGTGCATCGGAAGGAGGAGAAGGAGAAGAACTGGAGAAACAAAGCGTCACAGTTCGATCCGCGATCGCGTCGAGTATGGATCATTTTGTGGGCGAGCCACTTTTCACCAACAATCTGCTTCCATCGAGTGGACCCGGCGGACCGAGTCCCTCGGAGGCGCGTAACAATGAAACTCGAAGAGGTAATGCAATACTCAATAGGAACGATGTTACGACATGTGATACATATACGAAGCGTTATCTTAATTGTATACGTTCCGAACGAAAACACTATCGAGATAACCGCACAAACATTGCTCTCACTTAATAAAATAATAGAAATCTCATTAGCTAATTAAATTAATATCTGTCTTTTACTTTTAATATAGTTAAGATAAACCTCATAAACTAAACTGAATTTCAAGTTAAAATTAGAGAATACCTAAAAGATTCACCTGATTTACATTCAAGATTATAGAGATCTATTTTAGATGTATGTCCAGAATGAGAGAGAGTTAACAATGAGACAAAGTAAATTTCTTGAATATCTTACAGGTGCTGGCATTTTGGGAACAATCTTTTTGATTGTGAACACTACGCTGGGGGCTGGATTATTGAATTTCCCGCAGGCCTTCGACAAGGCCGGTGGAGTAGGAACCTCCGTTGTGGCTCAACTTGGCTTTCTTGTTTTCATCACAGCTGCTCTGGTGATACTGGCCAGCTGTAGCAATAGTACAGGCACCGATACCATGCAGGACACGTTCGCTGGATTATGCGGATCCAAGTCACTTGCTTTCTGCGGAATATGCGTGGCTATTTACAGTTTCGGTTGCTGCTTGACATTCCTGATAATTGTTGGCGATCAGTTCGACAGAGTGTTCGCCACCTATTACGGACTTGACTATTGTCATACGTGGTAATTGTCGCGATAAAAGAAAAAAAAGAAAAAAGAATGTGACTTGCTAGATTGTTATTTAAGTGGAAAAACTGTTTCATTTTCTAGGTATTTATCCAGGCCATTCGTGACAGCTTTATCTTGCAGTATGTTTATATTGCCCCTATGCTTCTTTAAAAGATTAGACGTTCTAAGTTACGCAAGTTCTGTTGGTTGCATAACCATCGTGTACGTCGTATGGTTGATTATTTACAAAAGCATCACCATACAGAACGGTACTGTACCACCTATAAAAATCTGGCCGGATAATGGATATGAGGTTCTTCAGATAATACCCATCATTTGCTTCGCTTACCAGGTATACGAATTCTTAAATTTATGTGTTACCCTCCGATTAAAAAATATGATTATCTTAGGTTAAATACTATATTAACATTATAATTATTACACGCTTTATATAATAATAATAATTTTTATGCGATCTTTATCACTCTCACATAAATTATATGATTTAAATCGATATAAGTATGTACAGATATGCATATTTTACAGAGTCACATGACGGCAATACCGACTTATGCCTGCATGAAGGATCGTAATCTGTGCAAGTTTACCCTGTGCGCCGGCATCAGCATGCTGATCTGCTGCGGCACGTACAGTGTCGTCGGTTATTTCGGCTACGCCACGTTCGGCAGTGGCAAGGTCCCGAGCGATATCCTGCAAGGCTACACCGATAAGAGTGCCGTGGTGACCGTAGCAATAATTGCAATCGCGGTCAAGAACTTCACTACTTATCCCATTGTACTATACTGCGGCCGAGACGCGCTTCTCGGGATTTTGGATGTGAGCCTCGATCGAATCGGCGTCCGGGTGATGGTTACGTTGACCTGGTTCGTTTTGTCGTTGGTCATCGCCATTCTAGTGCCGGACATCTCGCCGGTCATCAACTTATTGGGATCGCTATCAGCGATGTTCATTTTCATGCTGCCAGGCATCTGCCTCCTGCAGAACGTGTTCCTTGGAGATCCGGAATTGTACTTGAACAAGAACCGTTTGTTGGCCATCTTCGCGATCTTCCTGACCGCCCTTGGAGCCTTTGTGTGCGGCGTTGTGTTTATGGAAGCTCTTCAAGATCTACAGAAGACACCGCTCAAACCGCCATTGGTCACCGGTTTTAGACAGCTTAGAGAGAGTCTGTGCGTTTGATAATAACGGTCATAACACTCAAAATAAACGTTAGACATCGCGATCTGATAAACTTAGAGATTTATTATCATTGATAACAATCTGTTAACGGCGTGCCATGCTCTCTGCAGATCTCACATGCAACTTGATTCGAATGAGACTGAGAAAGCTGATTTGCAATTCGACCATACTTTAACTTTCGTTAATGTTACATTAAGATGAAAAGATATAGTTAAGGCGTCAGAAAGACTGATATACATATATATACAATTTTTACCGATTAACTCATTTACACGCAGAATTGCGTGAAACTGATTCTTTTAAACTTTTGACGTCTTCTGTTGTTTAAGATGTGCTCAAGAATATATAAGTATATTGTACTTGTGAATGTAAATAAAAAATTTTTGTGATATTTTATACAACCTTTGTGTTAATCTCAATTTATCTCCTAGTTATTTCTCTCTCCCTCACAGAATTCTTTATTGTACAATTAAAATTGCGGCAGTTTTATCGGGATTCGATGCTCGACGCATATATATCGCGAGAATTCAACAAATCTTTAATACAATATATGCAATTTGTGCGAAACAATCTTGTCACTGGATCAAGAAGTCGCTCTTGAAATTGGGAATTCGCTAGTAAAATCGTGCAATGTGTTCCCGCTTAGATCTTCAACCTTGTCTATGGTCGTTTTACAAAAGAAACATTCTCTGGTGTTGAGCAAATGGCGATCTATGCAGGTGCGGCACGTTTGATGATTGCACGGCTTAAATATAGCAGTAATTGGAAACGCGTAGCAAATTGTACAAGCATTCTCATCGTCACTGATCAATTTGGTATCGGGTAAGAGCACGTGACAAGTGTCGAGATATGTTATCATCTGCTTTACTCGGTTAATTTCTTCTGCCGTTACATCTTCCTGATCTGCAAAAAAAAAAGAACGAAATATTTTAATTTAAAATATTTTAATTATATATATATTTTTATTATTATTATGTATATAATACTGTCATATATACGATCAGGTATAACTCACAAGATACTTACAGTTCAACAACGAGAATGGTTTTACATTCTTCGTCTTTGTATTTTTCAATTTTGTGTCGCCCAAAACGAAATGCAGAGAACTGATTTGGAAGCTCGGTTCTGTCAATAAACTTCGTGTAATTTTGGGCACTTCAATTGTCGATTTTGCTGCTAACAAACAAAAGTTATTGAGATTTATTTTATATGCAAATAGTTTTCTCACAAGTCTTGTAATTTACCTGCGAAATCCTTCATCTCTTTCTCAAGAAGAGCCAACAGAATACCAATAACAGCAGCTAATATAGGAAAGTGATCTATAGATTCTAAATCCGGTATTTCCAGTAACATGACGTGTTGAAAACAGTTCGTTTGTGAGCTCATCCTGTTCAACACTTGGCAGAGTAACTGAAATCACGACACGATTGTACAATTCGAAAGATCGATCACGAAATAACATTCTCACTCACTTGACACAATCTGGCCAATAAGATTTCGCTGGAAGACTGCGTGGGATCGTTGAAAACATCCCGGGCCACCATGGAAATCATTTCTAATACCCGAAGCAACGAGATAGCTAGGTCGAAGCAAGTGGCGCAGATTTTCAATTGTCTCGACTCGATAAACACTCGCTCCGGTCTCGACGACACGTTGTGAATCTCCTGCACCATGCCGATAAATTCGGAGAATGCCCAATTTAATTGATTCAATAGCGAGTTCAAGAATGGCGTGGTCACTTGCGGACTGCCCAGCAACACGTCCCTCACATGGTCTTGATATATTACCGATGGACACGGTTCTGAAACAATCAGCAAATCCTGAAGATACCTTTACAAAAGACATTTGTCCAACATTTAAATTTGTCACGTCTTAGTAATATAGATTTAATAATAAGGATTAAATGTTAAACAAAGAGGATAACATACTTATAAGCTGATAGACAGATTCCTGTTGTTTCATACCGATCTTCGAAAGATGTGGGCTCTTCTCGTATCGGAAGGCAAAGCCGTTACCCTGCCAAAATCTGAGCAGAACCCAATTCGATTGCGCCCATGCTCTATTCTCATATGGTTTCAACAGACTCGTCACGATCTTTATCCTGCTTTCGCGTGGCACATTCTCCAATGCCTCCAGCATCAATGGATTCGATACAAAACCAGCGAGCGCGAGTATCAGCACGTCCTTAGAATTGGCGTGCACTATGCGTGAATCGAGAAAATGATCGCACAAGAACTCGGCAACGTTGCACAGCATCGTTCGATAATCCGGGATATTCTCAATCGGTGCGGTGGGATGCATGTGGGCGCGCAAAGTTATGATCAGATCAGACAGCGTCTCCAGATAGAAATCGGGCACAAAGCTGAACATGTTACCCTGTTGACTGGCGGTTTGCAGGGTCAGCGTAACTACCTTTAGTAGCCAGGCCAATTGAGCTTGTTTCTCCTCTGAATACACGGCGGCCCTGATCCACGCCATGTGTCTCGCCTGCTCCGACAATTTCTTATTAAATATATCCGTCGTACGGAGCAGTTCTCTTTGTATTGCCTCTGCGTCGGGATCCTTCCCTGGGATAGTCTCCCGGTCGACATGCTCGAGCCTCGCCTTAGTGTCGGCGATCGCGGTAATATATGCGGACATACTGTCGCGCAGACCGGCTACCTTGGCCAGCTGCTTTTTCGCTGCTACATGGTAGAATAAGATAATACCATCTAATAATTCCATCAACGAGATCGCTGGATCTGCAGGACCGTGACGTATTGGAGTCCTATCCTCTCTAGTATGCGAAAAAAATCCGAATCTCTCCAGTATCATAGAACTACCTTGGCTTCCCGATGCCGCCGGCGGGTTGATGTTAATTAAGCGAGGATAAACGGCCGCGGGTATAGCCGCGGGCAAGTCAACTAGTGGTCTCACGGCCGTGCCGACTACGGCAGCGTAAGTGTTATTTGACGCTTCATTTGTCGCTGTTGTAGTACGCTGCTGCTGCTGCTGTTGTTGCTGTTCCATAGCAACGATTACCTCATGCTCCGGACCTAGGAGGCGTAGCAATTCGTTCCTGAATGTCTTGTTTAAGTGGGTTATTACGCCACCAAGTCTGTCGATTCCAGAGTAATTGATCGATGCATCGTAGAACGCCCTGCCCATTCCAATTTATAAGGAAATGCTATTACGTAAATTAAACGTCGCTCAATAATATTTGCGAATTATAATAATAATGATGTACGAAGCAGGTGCTCATGTATTCGGAAAAGAGAAGTAGAAAAGAAATTAAAGATCCTCAGATACATACCAATGTACAAATGCGCAGTTAATAAACGCGATAAACGCAACTAGCAATGTAAGCGTTCAAGCATTTCGATATTATTTCAGTAATATGTATAAAATATATGTATATAAGCTTTATGAGAAAAAAACATATTGAATTGATTGAAGGTTTCTACATTACTAAAGTAGAGAGCCGATTCCTCTCGCAAGTGTGTCTGATAATTCTCGGTAATGCCTTATCACCTGCAGGGTATATAGACAGGACTTGTCCCAATTTCAGTGTCCCATAAAATTCTGAATGCAACCAGAAGTCGGTGAAAGCAACATAATGTGATCGGCAGGGGTGTCTGCAGAATTGGTAAAATGTCTGCAGGTTTTTTGCTGACTGAATGCTTGATAGTTACGCGGACGAATCGCGCGTACAAGAGTCTCCGTATTTACTACTATACACACAGCGTACTTACGCGACTGGATATTAGGTTCTCCTGAACGAAACGTTTGAATTTTTTCAAAAAGATAGTCCTCGACGTCGGCCTCTTGACTGTTCCATCGGTATTATCTAACAAAGTGACTAGTAACTCGACTTGTAATGCTTCTACCTCTACAAAAAATACAAAGTATAACGTTACTATTTCAATCAATATTTTAAAGATAAAATTTTAATATAAATTAAACAATATATCTTTTCATTTCACGAACATAATATAATAAAATAAAAAAATATCTTTATTTTCGATTATGTTTTAAACTTAAAAATTACTCTATGTAAATGACATTGCAATTTACAATTGCAAAATATCTTAAAAGTTACAAGAAGCATTTAATCGTACCGGATATGGCAGCTTTGATGCGTTCACAAGCGTATAGATAACTAGTTTTGTTTGCCTCAATCGACGGATCCAAGGGATTAGTTTCCCACCAGACTTTCTCCACTACATCCGTCAGTCCACCCTCATCGAGCGGTTTTACGTGCACAAAGTTGGCAAAACGCACACGATCGAACAACAGGTGTTGTAGAAAATATTGTCGTGTGACGGTGTGCTGACAGATCTTGGTCAGCAGCATCAGGCTCTTGCACTGATCCGGGTATTCGAGTAGCAAGGAAACGTGTCGGAAGGCGGACAGTAAATGGAGCACTGTACTCTCCAAGCACATCTTGATCTCGTGCTCCTCCAGGAACGTCCAAAGCAAATCCAAACAGACAATCGACCGCGTGCTGCGAACATTCGAATAAGAGGATTTCGTCGAGGAGTCATCGGTGTTTAGATCGCAGAGCGTCTGCATAAACGGCACGAAAACCGTCTCGGTGACGTAAGGAACGGTGAGCAACGGGCCGATATGTTTTAAGATAGATCTCGCTAGGCACATGAGGAACGCTTGGGCGCTCATAGTCTTATCCTCCAATGGAACGTTCCGCTTGTCAACGTTCTTTGAATATTCCAGCAGTTCGATCACTTGCGACAGCCACTGAAAGAGAAGCATGGCTTGCCGAACTTGCGCCAACGGAGGCGCTTGCAGTGGTTCGTAATCCTCCACGGGATATCTAAACGGTATGGAGCCAAAATTCGCCGTTAAGTTCTCGGTGAAGGCCAGGCTAACAGTGGGAAAATACGCAATCCCGGCGCCCATCGGTATATTCTCGAACGCTCTGCCCAGACTCCTGCCATTCCTATAGAAATCTATCGTTCCATCGTCCATGTCCAGCGCGCAGCCGATGATGTCTCCTGTTAACCAGGCTTCACCATACTTATGGGTACTCACATTCCATTTTCGCACACGATTTCCATCATAAGCGTATGAATTTGGTGTGTCTCCTAAGGAGGAAACAGTAGAATCTTATGTTAGTTAAATTTTAGCTCAACTAAAATAATCTACAAAAGTATTTCAATAATATTAGTAAAAGATGACGTTTATTGGAAATTATTGCAAGATTGTGGATCACAATGGCTAGGTTTTGCGGTAACATTTCAACGTACCAACGCCGTATTGCTGATTAAATTTACATTGAGCGGTGCCCCATCCCACTTGCATCACTCCTTTGGATCCAAGCTGCACCTCGTACATCCATTTTCCCTTAAACACTCCCGTATTAGCTCGCATTGTACTAAAGCTACTCTGTGAATTGACGCTTAGCCTGTCAGGGGAGACGATGCAGAGACCGTGATGCATAGACACGTCAAACCTAACGAGATGGGGACCTATACGACCCTCTCTATTGTCCGCAGAGTTCCATGTGTCGATATACAGATTCAACAGGGATTTTCTGATGTGCTCGTTCACCCAAGTCAAATTCTGAAATAATCTGAAATAAAAAAAATCGACTTGGCAATTGCAATGATTAATAAAAGTCGCTTTATATTAAAGTAAAATCCAAAACGCATAAACAGAAAAATATAACAATATGATAAGATATAACGAGATATAACGTGATATGATATAAGGAGATAATGTGATAAAATGATATTTGTGTCATGTTTTAAATGATTTTGTTTTGACACATATTTAGATATACTCGCAACAAACAAGAAGCTTTTTTTAGCTATACCGTCATGTATTTTTTAGCATGAAAGTAAAACGGGAGAAGAATAAAAAGTCGTAGAACTGGGGCATTTAAAGCAGGCATGTGCTCGAGTTTTACAGGGATGAGGAAAGAAGTGAGATGCAGCTGCGAAAGAGCTAATCCAGCCTCTCCTCCGGATAGGAAACGATTCCTACGATTCCTACCTAGATCGTCCGAGATGCTCGTCCTTGGGTATACCAGCGCCGGCGCGCTCGGCGGTGACGGGGCTCGCGCCGAAGATCCTGCAGAGAACCTCGTCCGCGTCCATCGCCACTATTTATCGGGAAACCGGGAATTTACGTCTCGAACGGGCAGGTTAATCCGCGCCGCGGCACGGCATCGCCGGCCTTTCGCGAGCGAGCGAGAACGACTTCGCGACCCCGAGCCTCTCGTCCGCCGCGTCCGCTCGGCGTCGACGGCAGCGGCAAATAACGGTGACAGGATAATCGATAGGCGACGGCTCACGGCCCTCGCGGGCCTCGCGGCTCGCGGCGGTCTCGAGACTCTCGGGCTCATGCGAGCGCGCCCGCCGACGTCAACGTCGCCATGTCAGCGCGCGCGAGTATCCGAGGACCGAGTATGTATATGTATGTATACGTATGTAGTCAAGTATGCACGACGACGACGAAATTCCCACCAGCAACTTCTCGTTATTGACAAGGAGAACGGGGGGAAGGGGGGACCGAACCGGAGCGCAGCGCGCCACTGGCCTTCACGACGAGGAGGAGGAGGGATATCAGCTGATGCATCAGCCGATCGTGCGCGCCGTTTACTGCAGGGGACGCAGTGCCGGCACAGATGATCTAAAAAAAAAGGGGCATAAGGGGCACTAACTGTGAAGAATACTTGAAAGTTGTATAATTAGAAATTAAAGGAGATGAAGTGGATTGGTAAAAAGAACGATTGATGACGAACGTCACAGACAATCGTTGACGTAGAATTATCGTGGGTTCGTCCAGCTGATTCACGTCAGCTGCATTTAATCTCTTCTTTCGGGAAAACATATTTCATATGTGATTATACATAAACAATGTCCATATATATGTTTTTTCTCTTATATAATCTCTGTTCGATATATAAGAAAAATAAGACTAATTAAAAAATAATTTGCGGTTTTTTCACAAAAAGTAAATGATTGCGATTAGATCACATAATATATATATTTTTTATTTTTAATTATTACATTTTTATGATTATATATACACTTAGCATTTTTTTGTAAAAATAAACAATGCGAAAATTATCCTTTTAGTCATTTTTAAACTCTTCGTATTATTTTTCTACATATACGAACAAAGATTATGCAAGAGAAAGAAAATATATATGGACATATTTTTTATATATAATTGTATGTATATGAACAAAATTGTTCTCGATTATCTCGTTTAATATACTGGTAGAAGTGAGATTATCTGTAGGATAAATTAGCGATCTTACCTGGGATGCTTGATCTTGGCGAAGCTTCCTTCGATAATATGAGACGTTCATTATTCTTAAATATTTAATCGTCAGTGAACTAAATAAAATACAAAAAAATTAACATATTAAAATATACGTTTTATATTTCAGTAATATAAAGAATAAAATAAAATGATCATTCCTAAAAAAAAAACCGAGAACTGTTATGCGAAATGCGCGGGAGACGTTGCCGGAAAGCGTCTGGACGCAAAATCGGGATGGATGCGGATGGAAATCTGCCGACGCAGACGGACGAATGAGCCTCGTTCGTGACATAATATAACATAGCCTGTAAGTTCGTTTATTACGATATCCATATGTGTCATTAGCCTTAAATGGGAGAGATTATCGATTAAGCTATTACGCTCCTCTCGGATCATCCACTGATAAGACGTGGCTACACTAAATTATTATAATGCGTATTAAATTACCTTACGGATTCGTTTAAAAATCATTATATATGTATATCGTCCGGCGTGCGGTCGGCACCGCGTAAAAAGGAAAAAAACTGGAGAGATTACTAAATACAAAATACGCAGTCCACGGATGTAAGACGATAAAAAGAAAAGAAAAGGAGAGAACGACGAGGCAACGCTTGAAAACCGGAAAACCGATTACGAAGATCGATAATTACGAAATCATTGTACAAGTCAACGTGAACGAGGGGCGTATTCTTTTCGCTTTGGTATTTCATAGGTGCGGTGGGTATAGCGCCTGCAATCTTAAGCGATCCTAATGTCAACCAGCGCTATCGCATATCTCGAGTTGTTTTTTCCCCCGAATTATTAGACGTACGGTTCTTCGACACGCCGACACGTCATTCTCAACGACAGATTTATTCTGTCGATTTCTCTATAGCCGACATGTCCCAGATACGCGTTACTAAAAATAAAACCTCTTCGTGAATTACAAATTACCTTTGTTCGCTTTGAAACTTTGAATGAACTCGCGTTCCTCGAATATTTCGGATTCAATTACAAAAAATTATCTAAATATCGAGGCAGTAAGAGGATAAAAGTCTGTTTCAAGTGTCGGTGGGATTAAAGGCGAGGACTCGACATCCTCGACGCGAATCAATTGTAAGTGTTCAGATATCGATAGAGATATCTGACAAAGATCGCGATAACGCTGACGACGCCAGAACCGCTTAACGCGTGCTAAACATTTAGTCGATACACACATAAAGTGAGGGAGCGTCGCGCGGGTTTAAAGTTTAAACACGCGACTCCTGGAATTCGCTGTCGATTCGCGCGAATTCTGCCGAACGAACGGGGATTTCCTCGCGAATACGAGCTTACGCGGTATACATTTCTTTTCGCGTGTTAACGCACGTATACGATAATCGTTAAATCACGAGTATAAGTTTCTCCTTTCTTTCCTCCCTTCGATCGATTACAGAGGGTGGCGATGCAGAAATAACATCGAGGTGAGTTGCAGAGGATGTGTTGTCTCCTGTTTCTTTACATTTTTCCTTCCTCTCTCTCTCTCTTTCTCTCTCTTCCTCTTTTCCTCTCGGCTCGTTGGTACCGGAACCGGAAATGTAATAAGCAACGGCTTAATCACCTAGCTAGATCCTCCTTCCCCCTTTTCTCTCTCTCTCTCTCTCTCTCTCTCTCTCTCTCTGTCTTTAACTCGAATATATCGAACATCGCTGTTTGGATTAGTTTAGTACCTATAATTAAGATCGGCACGCGGTATACATATTAGTGTAACGTACCCTATTATGATAAACCTAACGATAAAGTCGCGGGACTCGCAGGACCCCGAGAGACTCTCTCTCCTCTCTCACTCTCACTCTCACTTCCGCTCTGCGAGAAACAGACCTGGACTCACGACCAAAGAGTTGTCTTGGGCGATGAGAAGGTTGTTGTGGGGAATGGCATGCTCCTTCTTTCTCCCTCTCCATTCCTTCTCCTTTCTTTTTTCCTCTCTTCTTCCTCTTCAAACTCATACACTCGCTCGCGCATAAAGGAACCATCGAACGTGCTCGTCGCGGCACGCGACTCGCAACGGTGTGCTCATCAAGTGTATAGTGATAGTAGCAGGAAAATTCATCATTGGCGTATACATCGGGCACGCGCTAAAAAATAAATTATACCGTCGTCCAACGTCCAACGTTACAAATTTACGTTCTTCGATGCTAAACGTCTTTCTCTCTCGTTCCTTTTCTCTCTCACACTCTCACACTCTCACTTCTCTTTCTCTCTCTCTCTTTCGCTCTTTTTTCTCATTTTTTTTTCTCTTATTCTTATCTTCGCTCGATGACTAGAAACGTCGCTTCGCGCGGATCATTTGGTAAAAAAATTATGCGAAAATGGAAAACATCTGTAGAAAAAATAAACTCGCCTCCGCGAGGATAGCGCCGTGGTCTCGCGATGCGCCCCGCTCGAACGCGCGCCGGATTTAGCATGCGCGGCGACCCGCGTCGCTATCCCGCGGCGGCTTTCCTTTCTTCCTGGGCACGATAATTAATACGGTAGAAGTCCTCGCGACTGGGCGGAGTAACTGGTCGATGGGTGGTCGCGCTTTCGTATATCGCTCTAAATCTACACGCTACACGCGCCTCGAGACGGCGAAATCACGAAAAATCTCGTGGCACGATCGGCTTGACGCCCCGGCGACGGCCTGGGTGTCCGATTTTGTTTTTTCTTTATCGCGTCTCCTCTGGATGATTCGCGTCTCTCACGCGGGATTCCGCGCGTGCGAGAGGGAACGGTTATTGTCAAGTAACATCGTTCGAGAGCGACCGCGACTCGAGGGGACGCGGGATGAGCTCGCGCGTCTCCTCGAAACGCGCGCCGGTATCGCCGACCGACCTGGTCCTGGTATCACTTTCATCGGTGACTCGAGAGGAAACGCCCGGAAGAACGGTATCACCCGGCGATCGCCGGAGTGATAAGCGTGCCGACAAACACGTGCGAATAAACGTAAGCCTCCTCGGCTTCGCTCGGCGATCATATGGCAATCTAGTTGGCCTGCTCCGCACTTTGCGCCTGCTTCTCGATTTTGCGCGCGAGCTCGGGGCTCATATGCGGATGCGGGAACGGCAGCACCGGTTTGCGCAGGATCGTCGGCTTGACCTTGACCTGCGGCTTGAACGACGAAACCACCTGGCTGCCGCCGGTCAGATGCATGTCGGCGAATTTGGCGACGATCTTGGGGGTGGAGCGCGGCGGGAGGGGTGACCTGAGCGGCATTCCCCCGCTGCCTCCACCTCCACCTTCCCCGTCGACGGCGACGGCGACGGCGATCTGATTCGAGCTGGCCGACCGGACGATCTCGTCGTTCTCCGCGTCGACGACGATTACGCCCGTTCCGTCGTGCTCCGCCGTCTCGATCCGTTTCAGCTTGTTGCTACCGGCGGGGGTGGCGTTCTCCGAATTCCCGGTCTTCGTGTTCTTCTTCAGGGTGCACTGGTTCTGCTTGGCGAAGCGCTCGGCGGCGGTGCTCATGTCCGGCGACTCCGGACCGCCGGTCGGCGACGTGGCCGCCTCCGCTCGCGAGAGTGGCGTTTGCTGCTGCGGCGCCAGCAAGGACGACGGTATCATCGTCTCCTCGTCCGAGCTGCTCAGGCTGCTGGACGATGCGGATTTCTTGCCGACCGGGTCCTGCGCCGACAGCGGCAGATCCATCACCAGATCGGGCGTGTGCTTTTGCCGCATCTCGCGGAACTCCTGAGACGTACGGGAGTAGGACGATGATTTGGAGCCCGGCTGCGTCTGCGAAGTGGCGCGACGCTGCCAGAGCTCGCGATTCGCCGAGAAGTTCGTCGTCGTCTGGGGATCCTGCGACTCATCTTCTGGCGTCACGATGGTCGTGGTCGTTGTCGTTGTCGTCGTCGTCGACCCCGTTATCGTAGCGATCGTCGTCGTCATCGTTGAAGTCGGTAGAGAGTTCGCGTGCGACAGCTGCTGCAGCTGCTGATGTTGCTGGGTTAACATGCTCTCGCCGACGCTCTGCGACTTCCAATGCTGCTGCTTCCGGCCGGCGCCGCGTTTCGCCACGATGCCGTCCAGCGATGACATCGTTGCCAACACCGAACTGCTCCCCGAATCCTCATTCGTGACCTCCTCGTTGCTGCTACCGCCTCGTTGCTGCTGCTGCTGCTGCTGTTGAACGGAGTTTGAGAAATCGCCGTCGATGGAGTCGACGTTATTTTCCAGGGCGATTTGGAGAACGCCGTCCGCGTTCCGTCTATGTTGCTCCGAGTGTTTCTCGTTTTCCGTAGGGGTGGACGCTCTGGCCGGCCTCGACGGAGTCACGGAATCAGCCTGCAAACAGTCACGGGAACAATCGTAGCGAGGCTTGAAGCGCGTACGCGGGGGGCTAAATGGGTGTGTGTTGCCTGAGTGAAGCCGACAGACGGGTCTCGTTTACTATTGCGGGTAATACGCAGATACTACGTCGTCTTGACCTATCAGCGGTCGTGCGCGCTGTAACGAGATACGAATTATTGTCGAATTATTATCGAATCACGTCTCCTCTCTTCTCACGTCTACAAGGGGTCTCGCCACCGGTGGATGTACTTTCTAACATACACAGTCACAGATAAACTTCATAATTTTAAATTTTTCTCTATACTGAAACGTCGATAATTTTAGAATAAATTAACGAAGACTTTTTTTTAGTGAATTATAGCGAAACAGACAGTTTCCTGGAATTCCAGTTTTCGTTTATTTTTCTTTGTCTAAATTTCAAGTTGCAGATATATTTAATATCAAGCGAAAGTATAGCAAATAGTGATCAGTTATTAAAATTTCATAAAGGAAGATGTCAACGATAGACTTGTAAAAGACTTTAGAAAGGTCATCCAATGGTAGTAGGACACCCTATATACAGTTTTCCATGTAACAACGTGTATAGATAAAAACTGGGGAGAGTGAAATAATTCGTGAATAATTTACAACTGCACGATATAACGACAATGTGAGATATATGTGTGAATACCGAATGAAAGGGGTGCTGATTGTGTGATTGAACAAAGTACATTAATAAAACAATTGGTTCCAAGATATTTTCATCTAACAATCAAAATATCGTGTTAATCAAGGTACTTTGTAAGTAGTCTCGACACGATCGGTTCAGAAAGCGTCTGTAAAACTAATCTCGGGACACTTAATAGTCGCTCGCATGCAAATCGGCGCACAAATATGAAGGGATGAAGTACACACACATAGAACAGTGCCACTTGAGGGACAGGATTAAAAACTGCTCGTAAAACTGAGACAGACACGTAAGCGGGCGCACGTACCGGCGTAATAAACGATGAATTAGTTTACCTCTTTTCGTCTCTTTACTGCCCCGGAGGGTTAATAATGGCTATATAAGGCTATTGCAATGGGTGAGATTACTCTCTTTACTCACCTCGCCAAGCCGAAAGGATATCCGCTGGAGACAAGCAGGCCCGCTCGCGCGAGCGGCATTCCTTTTGATCTCATCTACAGACCGAAGAGGAAGAATTCGCTCTACGAAGAAACTCTAGGAGACTCTCACAGAATCGACAAGGAGAAAAAAAAATAATAAAAAAAAAAAAGAAAGGAAAAAAGCTCGAACACACTTTACCGCCGAAATCTCAATCTCGCGATTTCGACGACACAACACGACTATGATAATTAATAGCTTAGTCACACAACTAACAACACTGGCGGCCAGTTTTATCGAACAGTTTTTAGTCCGCGTTTCGCTCTGCGTATATGTGTGCGGCGCGAAACGGCATGGCTTTTCTCGCCAACTAAAGGGCCAAGAGACTAAACGTATATCTGGAAAAACATCAACCATCCCAACCGTTAAAACAATCGTTGACAAAAAAGACAAAAAACGTAAAGAAAATTAAAACACGCATACGCACACAGTAAAACGGAGGACACAGGCGGCGCACAAGACAAGAACAACCACAAGGCGGCACATGCAGCACAAAATGAATATGTATATTTATATTTTATTTACAAATATATCGTACAAACTCGTATAAAGTCCTATAAAGTACTCGTGTGCTGTTCCGAATTTAAGTTAACTTAAAATAAAACGTCTCTCACGTGAAGTGCCTCTCTCCCACGTCTCGTCGTCTTCCCTAATTCTGCGTCACTGCGTCGATTCTGTCCGCGAAACTTTAAAACACTTATATACCTCGGAATCGCAACAGTAAACGATATTGCGTAGATTTCGCGACGACAGCTCGTTGAATTCCCCCCCCCCCCCCCCGAGTTTATCCAGTCACTAACTTCGTCTTTTTTTCGTAAACTTTTTCGTGGAGAACGGAAACTTTGCACTCGACCATGAGAGAATCGCGCGAATTACATGACGAAGCGATGCGTGGATCCGATATGCAGGTGCAGTGCGAAGGCAAGAGATTTCGTGTTGTCAATCTACATTGTGCATTCTAGACGCGGTTTTGTTTGCTCGAGAATATAATAAAGAAACGAAAAAAAGATATGTTGCAACTCGAGCAGCCATGCACCTGAGTGTGCGTCGTGAAGAGTACGGAGACAATAAAAATCTGCTAGTCGCTAGACGGTGCGTCGGTATGCAACAGTGCGACAATACACGTCAAAAAGCGAAGACGAACACGAAGAGGAGAAGAATCGGGCACAGATTAATCAGGTCAACTACTAAACGGTGGTTTCCAATACCTCTCGACTGATGATCGGCTGCGCCGACGACGAGATGCAGGGCACATTCGTCACTACGGACGCGATAATACCGCTGGCGTTACTATTGTCCGTTATTATGTTCGTCGTGGCGGATGACATATCGGACGCCGCGCCGGACGACCAAGTGCTCGGATTCGCCGACGGGCCCATCAGCGGCGAGTTATTGCTCGACAGCATGCTGTCCGCCGAGCTGGACGCTCTTCTACGCATAGATTCCTCGCTGGACGATTTTAAAAGTTCCTTTTCACGCTCTTCATCCCTGAGAAAAAAGCAGAAAGTACCGACGAAACGATTAGAAACTAATTAAATAATAGATTCGGATTTAAATCATGAACTAACTTAAATAGTTTTACTTAAATAATAATTTGACTGAAATAAAGATACTGACAAATTTTCTGTTAAGCGTAAAATAAAACTTATTATGATTTATTAAAATACTAGTACTAACTTTATCTTGAGCATAATATATTTGTCAGGAATCAGTCCCTCCCTGCCGGCTAGAGCGCCTCGCCACCAATCGTTGCTGACCTGCGTGTATAACGTCAAGGTATCGCCCTTCTTGAAACTCAGTTCTCTTTCAGACCTCGCGTTGAAGTCAAACTGCGCCGTAGCTTCGAGATTCTCTGATTCTAATGGATGGATAAAACAGATAAATTATACTTCATGAAAATATTTTCTAATTCAGTGAGGTCAAATATCTTGGAAAAAAATTACCGTCTTCGGACGGATAAACTTCCGAGTCCATGTCTTCCTGAACTTGTTCCGTCGGCGAATCTCCAACATCCCTAAATTATGAATCATGTCAATAGTCAAACAATAAAAAAGATTCAAGAAATGCCTGAGGATTGATAAAAAAATTGTGATATCTCTTAGATTCTTTTATAAATCCTGTTTATATACTTAATGTTAAGTTGTCTTAATATGTGATATTTCATGATGAATATATCAATTTATTTTTACTTACACGTCGTCGGGTTCTCTGCTGATGTATTTTTCATACTGAGTGCCCCCAATATCCTCTGGGAAAATCTCTTCACAGAACGTAATGATGTTCTTGATAAGTTCGTTAACCTGATTCTGATACTGGACCTGATCCTTGTCCTCCGGAACAGGCACCAAGGTCGGGCCGAAGCAGATAGCCAAGTTATACGGATCCATCATGTTCTCGTCCGAGAATTCCGACAAACTGTTTAAGTACAGACCAGGTTTTAAAAATCCGGCGAAATTTCATACACGAATTCTTTGCAGAGCAATACTCACTGATTGAGAAAAGCAAAAAGATATCGCATAACGATCACAGCCGGTCGCGGCAGACTCGCTATCATCTCCTTCATCTTGTTGACAAAGTCTTGCTTCGATTCAAGCTGCGCTAACTCCATCAGATGCTCGAAATAAATAATGGGAAAAAGGGGTTCGCGCAGTTCTCTTAGATAGAGTTTTAGCACCCCGGCGACGCTGTTGATATCCGAAGCGTCAGTGACATCCGCAAGTGGATCTTCGCCACGCTCGAACCACTCGCGGAAGTTGTTGATCTCCACCTGCGAGCCCGACACGCGAAAGATACCCTGATGGTGCAAGCCATATAGATTGATTACGCGGATGCAGCTCTTCATGATCAGTGGTATCTCCTGATTCGTACTCTCCAGGTACTCCTCGAGTGAACCGCCGAACAGCTTTGGCTGGCCGTTCATCTGCAAGCGACCGATCCGCTTGCGACGCGCTTGTTTCTGCTTCGTCGCGGAAATCGACGGATTCGGACTGGCGTTCGACCCATCCAGCAGACTCTGTCGGATGTACTCTTGTTTTGCATCTAACCTGGCTATTCTCGACGTGCCGAGAAGGTACTCCCTGAATTTCTACAAACATCAATGTGAAAGATAATGTAAGTTTTGTAAAATGCATTTTTTTACATCGAAGATAATTTTTATAATTAACGAAATTTACTTGAATATTTATTGTGTTAATGTAAATTTTTTTATTAACGTTAATAATCTTTTTATAAAAAAAAACGTAGAATCTGATTCTTCCAATCTTTAGATATAAATAAGACAAAAGAAATTGGATAATAATCATATAATATAAATGAAGGAAAAAAAACCATTTCTTCTCGGAAAAATAATCACTGAACGCAGATGTGCTTTTATCGGTTATTTTCTACTTGTCTCTTGCTCGCGTGCTTCCTCTATTCTTCGCAAGCTAATGTGACGATCAATAGTCGACCGCGCGATCATGTGTCTTTCGTTCGCAGCGGAGGAGAAGGAGATAGAACGCTCTCGTAAAACTTACCGTGAGGTAGAATTCTTCAGTCTCCTGTCTGTCAGCTCGCAACTTGATCTGCAACGTTTCCGGCGGCCTAGACGTAGGTACGGCGTTCTCACCGAAGTATCTCGAGCAATCGTAATCCTTGGCGGTCAACATCTCGAGCAGACTCGCCTCCGCCGTCTCCAGAGTCTTCCACACCTCCTCCGATTCAGTTCGTAGCGACGTCACCCTCTGCTGTAGCTGCTGCAATCGTTGTTCCATCTCCGAATGCAGCATCTTTTGCAGTTCGGGTTCGGGCGTCTATCAGGAAAGAAATAGAGCAATGAATCGCAATTTTAGTAGTAACAATGACTACGAAGAAATTCCGATAAAAACCAGAACATTGTTCATAGTTTTCGAAAGTTATTCTCTTTTATTTTCATAGCTGTATTATTAACTGGGTTTTATTAAAATAAAATCATAAATAAATCATAAATAAAATTATCATAATTTATATTGCTGTTTAATTAAAAGACGATGAAGAAAGGCCGATAAGTTAACAAAGTTCGAAGTAATTCTCTCTCCCGTACCTCATCTCCACGCTGTCCTTGGAACTCAAACTTCTTGGGAATCATGAAGGCCGCGTGATGAGACTCCAGGAATCTCTGCTTATCCGCCCGAGAGTCGAGTGCACCGACGCACGCAGCTAATTGTTCGGCGCCAGATTGCAAGGAACGCTGCCTACCCTCCTCCGCGCTGCAGTGCATTAGCAATGCCCTTGCTATGCAATTGTGAAATCCAAAGTCCATGCACTGCGAGGGTAAAAGCAAATGTACACTCATTTTTTTATCTATCTTTTGCGCTATGAAATAAATTAGATTACATTAGGTAATAATTGCAGGTAGAAATTAAAAACAGTAAATTGTGTCTAACTTTTTCTTTGCGGTCTTTCAATCATCTTTACATTTTTACATTTATTTTATCTTTTCTTAACATCGTTGTTCTTCACCTTTTAATATTTCATTGAATTTTATAATAATTTATTAAATGACAGAATATAAATTCAATGTATATCGTAACGTTACAATGCAACGAATAAGTGTAACGATTACGGAGGCTGGTGAAAGCGCGGCCATTGGTCGCGGGGTCAATGGGGTGCACGTGCGAGCCCGAGTATGGATGAGCAACTTACGTCGATGAGATCGGACAGGTCGTCGACGAAATACTTGTGTATCGTCGTGTTTGAAGCCTCCAGGCACAGGATGTACTCGTTTCTCGCTTTGAGCGCCTTTAGTTTCGCCTCCTGGTACTTGCTCTTCCTCTGAAAAGGGGGATACGTCGGGTTAGAGACGATGTTGCGCCTTACCCTAAAGAAGCGGCCGAGCGGCGAGAAACTAAGACCCGCCTAATTAATCTTATTAATCGCCGGCGCCGACCAGCGTATTAATTGACCCCGTCGATTCCCGGGACGAGTTTCCTCGTCTCGCTTTTCTCCCCAAGGATTGTCTACATGTTATCGCTTTTCATATTATCACAATTAAGATCCTTGTTATACCGAATAAGTCACTTACATGGCTCTCGCGCGTTCTATGCTTTCAATAGTATTTAAATTATTAATGTAATGGCAATACAATTTTTTTCTTGAGAAATTTATTTAACAAAATTTTAATTAATGCAGTAAGATAGTAACTTAATTTTTCACAAATATATACTTTCGTAATAGCAGATATCTCGTAATTTCGTACAAAAACTCTCGATCCTTATATAAGTTTTATAAACAAAATTTGTGTTCTTTTAAAATGCGAGCGATGACATCAACTCCAACGATACTGCGACAATGACGAATCGGTCTCTTTTTTTTCCTAGTCGCTTGGCGCCTACACTCTTCTCTCACATCTCGGTATCCCTTTTGCTTCCAGGCCGTTTTAACCATCTGTCTTATCGCACTTATAACCGCGCTGCTCGAGGGGGACCGCTATTTATTTTTCCATCAAGTTGCATGTGCTCGGCAAAAAAGCCCGCTAGCAGGTCGGCCCTAAATCCTCGGTCGACGTCTGCTCGGATTGGAAAGAAGTGGGGAAAAAAAGGAAGGACGCGGAGAGAGATACGCGTTGTACGGATTTCCTAACGTCTCTCACGATTCACTCCGCAGAGTGGATGATATCCTCTCAGTTGTAAGCTGGAGAAACGCTTCGAGTCCCCGGGGACCTTTGACTCATGCCAACAAAACGGTGAAGCATATGGCCCTCGTAGAATGTATGGACGCGAACGCACATTTGTCACAGAATAAAAATATGGACGAGCAAATGCCCTTCTACTTTACTCAAATTTCTCGATCCCACTTACCAGATTTAAAAAAAAGACTTTGAAATTTTAAGTCTTCTCCGATCGTAAAATACCTATTTTTGAAGAATACCTTAAGAGTTTTAATGAGAAAACTTTAGATCTAAAGAATCTTAAAAGTTGTAAAAGTTCCGAGCAAAGGAGTACGAAATTAGTTTGCAAGAATTGATATAATTTCACGCTTGCAGTAATAGCTTCATGAGCGTTGCAAATTTATTAATTAGAATAATCAGATGATTGAATAATCGCGCGGAAAGTTTTTGAGAGTTTCCTTCTTCCGTCTCAATTTTAATTCCACGGTCGTTATTCGCACGGCAGTCCGGTCGCACTAATCCAACTCTAGAACGCACGAACGAGTTTTCGAAAGACCAGAAAGACGAGATTGCGCTCCGGATTCAAGACAATTATCCGTTCGATTCCGTGAATCGCAACGGCGCGCGAGATAGTTGACGATGGACAAAAAGCGGAACAATTGCTGGACTGATGACGCAGATGCCTAATTCGGACATCCTGCGATTGGCCTGGATATCGTCTAGCCGACGCACTGCCGTTCGCTCGCGTTTCCACCTGCCGCCGAACCTTTTCGTCGATCCGCATTTTATCGGCGATATTTTCGTGCGGCCGTCATTTCCGCCTGATAATGCACATGTAGTAGCGTGTAGCGCGAGGGATGTAAAATACCAACAATCGCGAGGCGAATCAAATCTTTATTGGCATGGAAAGCACACTGGCGTAATAATCTTCGTGTCGACAGCAACCGTAAATCACGCAGTACGCGATAACAGAGCTATTGAGAGGAAGGATACTTCGACAAGAACTACTTCAACGTTGTAATATTCGAAACTATACTTACGCCGAGCGGAAACATTTATTTCGGTGTAACTTTCAAAGTTAAAGTTTCTCAAAGCTGTCTTGCAGACTGTAGTACAGTCGCGGACTTCTCAAAGCCCTTACTTTGTCAATGTCTTAAAAGAGAACTGCAGAAGTCGTTAATTTTTATTATACAATTGTTTTAAAGACTAGTTATTCAGTTTTATACGTTTGCGCACCGACGAAGACGGATCCGACAGTTGATCTTAACGATGTCCTTATTGTTAAATTGTGACAGAGAAAATTAGTGGCGCGACTGTAGAGCTGTAATGAACGCTGAATTCCGCTGCGCTCGTGAAACGAAATTATTAAGACGCAGCAGACGGCACTCCAGCTGTCCTTTCAATTTCCTTTCAATCGCATCGACGAAGGCAAGACACGCGAACTTCCAGCTACGTTCCGCCACGCGAGATACCTCGCTTTAAAGGGGCGCGACGAACAAAGAACACTCGATCTCTCGATTTCCACTAGTTTTAAGGGGATGCTGGAGACAGGTCTGTTTTACCACGAAATTTTCAGACACACAAATCTTTTGATTGATTTCACCGAATTAAAAATTTTTTGTCCAGAATTAAAGTATGGACGATAACGAAGACGGCAGGCATCAATTGCGTATAAAAAACGAAAAAAAATTAGAAAATTACATTTTTATTTTTGATTCTGCGGTCGACTCATGACAACATTTGCTGCAGATAAAAGTTTTAGACTGTGTACGTATACAAAAACCTTGCAGCCGTCACGGAAATACAATAAAGAAGAATCCTGTGCTTGCAGAAATGAGCTGCGAGCTTTAGTATAAGATAAGAGAAAAGTATGTTAGAAAATTTCATATGCACATGTTACGCGTCTCCCCGATTTCAGTCAAAAACTCTGCGCTCTGTATGTATGTGTAAGAATCGGTGAGCACTTCTTTATCGACGCTGGTCGAGTTTGCTTGCGCTCTGTATGTATATGTAAGAATCGGTGAGCACTTCTTTATCGACGCTGATCGAGTTCGCCCGTGACTCCAGCATCCCCCATAGAGATATAAGAATAGAGTGCGCGAGCGAGCTGAAAAAGCGATATAGGAATAGAAAGAGAAAGCTGCGCAGAATAAAAAGAGAAAGCTGCGCATGGGCCCCTTCTGTCTTTGTTTCGCATGCACGCGTAGACAAAGACAGAAAGGGCCTATATGCAGCGTTCTTTTTCTATTCCTATATCGCAGCCTCTTACGTGCTAGCATATGACTGGCGCACTCTATTCTTATATCTCTATGGCATCCCCTTAAGCACCAGTTATTGACTTATAAAACTATAATCTCAATATTAACTTTATAATATATAAAATCAATAACCCACAATTATGTTTCGGTAAATTTATAACATAACATTCACAAGACCACCTCACACGTAAACTTATTTCGATTTTTAAGAACCAAATCTGATCTCTTTATGTAAAATATTCAAAATTATTTGAAAATTTTTTTGAGACGTTAAATTGTCAAAATTAAATAAGATTATCGATTGGAAAGAAATATCTTGATTAAAAGTTTCAACAACGTTGTTAAAAGTTTCATTCCTGACTTCCCGGAAGAACCGCGCAATTTCCCGGCATATTTACGAATCATCGCACAACGGGTAAACGTATCGAAGCATTTCCCGCTAATCGACGCGTTGCTTTGACTTCGCGAACAGCTGGTAGACGCGCAACGGCGAAAAAAACGCACGTTAAATCCGTGTGTTCATCATCGTGGAAAGATTTTGCCGCCGTATCGTCGCGATAAATCGCTGCGTCTTTGGTGTAAAATCACTGTCAGTCTTTCGCCAGAAGCGACGACCGTTCCGCCGCGTCAGATGCCAGCATCTTGTCAAAACGGCAAAGGGAGTGAAAAGGAAAGTCGCGGATGATCGTCGACGAGCAATCTCTCGACCGACCGTATCTCATAACACGTCGTCATATTGGTGCCAAAATCCGAAGGACGCGCGCAAAATCGCAATATGCCAGATTTATCCATGGCCAGGGTCGCTCTCGAAAAAGGCTCGAAAGAGGCTGAATAAATCGCGTGTGATCGAAGCAACGTCTCTATTCGTTATCGCGAATGTTATGAAAAATGTCAAATTACAGAAATTTAAATATTATGTTGTATCAAATACCGCTTGCGTGAAATTTTTATCTAGAATTGTCAGAGCGTTTGTCAAATTTTGTTGACCCTGCGATACAGATTTATCCAGATTTGAATCATCTTGATAAAGTTTTAATTTCGAGACTCACTATAAATGCGTGAGATATTGAGTATTAAAGATCTCTGTTAACAAAATACGATAAATGGAATCTAAAACGTGCTACGTACAATTTTCCTTCGCCACGCCAGGCCAGGTTGCAATTGTCAACACAATTTGACGCAGGTGAAACGATCAGGGAGAAGAGCTTAAACTTTCTTCTAGAAGCTCTCGCGAAGATCAAGCGCCGTCGAGCAGCTTTTTCAACGTCGTTACGAGTACTCTTGTCGTGTAGAAGCACTCGAGATCGACCTTCGATGTATTCTATTCTACAAACCTACCTTGTTGACTTCCTTTTCAATGAGCTTGTACTTCTTGCTGCGTGCGAGTTTCTCACGGCTGTCCGCGTTCGCCACTTCGAGCTTGTTGCGTTGCTGCTCAGCGACGCGAAGCTTCGTCTCCGCTTGCCTAGACTCGGCCTGGTAAGCCTGATAAGTCTTCATCGTCGTATGCAGCTCGTGTAATACCCGGAGTATCTCCTCGTGCGTCTCGTAGCCGATCTCGCGACACTGCAGCAAGAAACGCCGAAAAGATGTAATCGCGATTAAAAGGATGTAATATACAATGTCTCCGTAATATGAATTTAATTTTAATCAAATGCAATAGAGACGACATTTCTTCTTCCGGAAAAATTTGCGGTTGTACAATAGCGCGTACGTAAAGAAATTTATGAGATATAAATAAAAGCGCTATGTGAGAGGTTTACGAGAATCCAATTACAAAAATAAAAGTCAGGGCGCAATTATAAGAGAACGTGAGAAGCAATGTGTCGAGAAATTCGTCGTGATGGAATCAGCATTCGTGTTCATTTAACCAGCACCCGACGTGTATTGGCACTGCCATCAAGCTGTGGCGAAACATCGCGGCGGCGACGGCGACGGCGACGGCGAAGGCGGAATGGAGACATTCGAGGCAATTAATTGGACGAGACAATGGAACAGTCGAACTTCTCACGACACGGCGACGCGCGACGATGGCAATCGCGCGATCCCGACTAACTGCCTAACGGTACTGTTGTACCGCGTGGCGTACGACACTCACACGCTTGTAAATTCGCTGCACGTCCTCCATCACCTGATTGAGACGGCCCACGAGGTGGGTGCTGTAGACCTCGGACAGGGCGGCATGGTCCCTACTGAGGGACTTGGTCTCGTTTACGAGCTGCTGCCAGCAGGCGTAGCTGGAGAACAGAGGCCATTGTTCCCGCCTGCGGAAAACGATCGATAAAGACGATATTAAATCGGCGACGGATGTATGTTCCGCGCGCGTGTATATCGATGTAATTACACGGCAATTAAATCGGCCGCTAACGAGCCGATAAAGTGTCGCGCTCGCGTCGTCTTGCGGCTCGAACGACGTATCGTTCCGTCCTTACGTTTGCACACGTAATAGCGATCGTTCTGCTTGCTGGTTCATGCATATTGAGTGCGTTATATATACCCTTAGGTTGAAGATAAAATGGTATTTCTTTCATATGTTAAATAAGAAAGCTGCCTAAAATCTCTCTAGTTTTACAGATCAAAAATTTCTTTGATATTATAGATTGAGTGTCTAAAATTATTTTGATATCACAAACGAATCTCCAAAATCTGTTTGATATAAACGGCATGATGATCCTTCGATACAAGCACCTGAAAAATTATTTTATTATAAACGTTTACAAACGATATTTTTAAAACTGCAAGTGGGCCATTTAAAACGAGGTCGTCCGGTTATCGACCATAAAACCTACTTCACGGTAATTATATTTCTTGTGAAAGGGTAAACGAATGTGACGACGTAACCCCGGATGCGGCTTCGCAAAGAAGAGGAACTATCGATTCGTGATATCTCCCGGAGCGAAATGAGGGAAACGCGCAGGAGGGAAAGAGAGTGTGTCGACGTGATTGCGGATTACGTTTTACCCGTGTGTATCATGTGTACCAGTGTACCGCGAGAGAGGCGTCCCTTTTGTGAAACGCTGAATACGGCGCACAAAAGGGGCACCCCGCGTTCAGGGTTGAATGACGAGAAGGAACTGGGGCATGTTTCAAACGCGGGAACGATGCCGCCGGATGGCAGTGCACGCGCGTGTAGGACGCGGGAAAAATGCGAAGCCGTCCGCTTTTCCGTCATTCGTTCGTTCGTTCGTCCGTCCATCGCAAAAGTGGAACGCGGAAAATGTCAATCGCATCAATACTCTACGGAATAAATGCGAGAAATATAAATCGTCACGAGATATATGCAGCAGAATTCACAAGTCTACTAACAATGACGTTTATTTATTAATTATGTTGTGACCGATGTAATACGAACAATGAAATAGCTTTAAACTCTCTGTTATATATCGAAATAATTTTATATACCACCAAAATTTTCTTTAAAAGGGGAACACGAGACCTTTAATTAGAGCTTAATTTTCTTACAATGACAATGTAAAGAAAATTTGCAATATATGCAATTGCTTTCATATTATAGAATCTCCAAAATCATTATGTTATTATAAATTAAATATTAAAGATATAAACAGACTATAAAATATTATTTTAATTCTGTAAGTCAAATATCTAAAATAATTTTAATATTGCAAATAGTTTGTCAAATATTATCTGTTTATCCTAGTCGTGCTATTTCTCAAATATTGATTTCTATCTTCCCCAGACATTGACGATTTAATATTGACTCTTAAAAGAAAAATTCCTTGAAAGTATATATATATATATAATAAAATATTTAAGATCGTTGCTGATTTTAATGTAAAATCGCAGTTCTGTGATAAATATTTAAGGTATCTGGATCGAGCTCTGATCCAATTAATTATGCATTTCATGACCGAAATGTAATCATGCATGATCAAGGTCTACATCGACTACATCTCGAATATAATCTCGAATATAATGCATATTTAATCAAAATTTACGTAATGTAATTGCGAAACAATTCGCGTTGCGCAACGTGATGTAATGTAATAGTGCAAATGTAACGCTGTTATATAGACGCGTGTTATCGTTTCAATTGCGTCGTGCAACACGTAGTGCACGCGCCTGAATTACAATGAATTAATTAACGCATGTATCTTCATTAATCATTTAACGCTACAATCCACGCAGAATTATTTTCCCTTGTTTTCTCGCCATTTCGCTTTTTGTAAAATTATTCAGCTAACCAAATTTCTGCGTCGTTAATTTAGTTTTATCGTATTCCCGGTAAAAAAGTAAACACAAACATTTAAAACAAATGTGAGTCGTTTTAACTCTTTCGCTAAGCAGCTAATTTTCTTGTGATTAAAATATCAATTAAGTGAATAATAATTTAATAATAAAAGATTACTTTGATATGACGCAAATGCAAAATCGCGTAATCATCTGACGCATTTGCGATTATCTGCACTGTCTCTAAGATAATAAAATTGTATATCTTATTGTTAGCTACACTTTTCTATATGTTCTGATGTATATATTCTTCCTTTTCAATCTAAATGTTTTTTTTTATGAAAAATATAAAAAGATATATATATTAGAAATAGAATAAATAGACATGATATACTTATCGTACTTTTGTTTCTGCTCCTTATGCCTCAACTGTATGCTCCTGGCCATCTTATCGAGGGACTTGCTGTAATCTAGCTCCAGTTCCGCCCTTTTGCGGAAGAAATCCTGGAGCTCGGCCACGAGGGCGACTTGTGCTTCCATCCTCACGTCGAGGCATCTCAGCTGTTCGTTCAGCTGTAGCCGTATATCTGCAAGCAGAGAAAAGGGGGAAACCCCGTCAGTGCGTGTTCCGATCACGATCATGCGTTTCGGGTGTCTCAAGATACACGCGAAGACCTGTAAAAGTAATCCCCGGAAATTGGTCGCCGCTGAGCTCGCCAAGTCTTCTGGCAAATAAATTTTCATCTTCTCAAAGTCGAGACTCATATCAGTCTGTTGCTACCTCAAAGGTCATGAATTTCCGGAGGCTACGGGAAAAAGACTTCCGAGTTCTTTCAGGGTCTTCCGGATCGTTTTCGAAACCGATACCCAGGAATTCTCTCATCTCTATCGTAATGCTCGAAGGATCGAATACGGATTTAATAATAAATACTATTATGTATTGTAGATGTTGACTTATTGTTAGAAATTAATTGTATAATGAAGTTGTTTTGAGATATGGATTCGGTTTTTAATACCCTCACGTCGAAGTCGTTTTATTCCCTCGACGACGATAACAATGGCAAAGAGGCGGCTGCTGCGCGGAATAATAATGTCTCGGGAATGACGGATGTCGCGAGGAAGGACTTTGACACGATCGTGTCAGAGACTTCCGACTCTCTTTCTCTCTTTCTCCCCAGTAATCCGTATTCCGTTAATGTTATCCGCAAGACAATGACGAGGAGGAGGAACGACGTGACGTCTCGACTTTGCAAGACGACTAAGCTAAAAATAAACGATGTACGCGACACGAAACGATCTATCGTTTCGTAGACTTTGCCGAGACGAGGAGAGAGAGAGATGATCGCGCTCGCGCGCGCGTACTGCGTGATTTATTGTCGCGGCCGTATCTCGTTTCCGTTTCGAAACTTCCTTCGACTCCGATAATAAATGACGAGTGACCGCGGTCGAATACATTGTTCACGTAATCCATCGTCTATGCGAGTGAAAGCAATTTTCATTTCTCCGACATTCTTCATGCACTTATTGTTAGCGCACTCAGAACAAATTGAATCTCTCTCTATCGGAATGTCTAAAAAATCTTACAATTAGAAATCAGTTCCTTCAGAGTCTTTGATTTTTCCAGATAAAAAAACATCCAAAAATTCCAAGTCGTTTTAGTTTCCCTAAATAGTTTATGCTTTGTCTGTACGACTAAGGCTGCGGTCCACTTAACACTACAAAAAGGCTTCGAAGCCTCCCTTTCTCTTTTCTTTCAGTGAAGAAAGAAGGAGAAGAAGAACGCTTCAAAGCGTTTGTAGCATCAAATGGAATCCGCAGCCTAATTGAGAGATTGAATTTATTTCAATTCTCTCAAGTTTTCGGAGAAATAATTCAGACTATTACCATACCGCGCAAATCATTCAATCTAATTTATACTATTACACTTGACAGACGCTCCTAAAATGGAAATACCATTTCGCTGTATATCTGTCTTCGCGTAAGCGTCAATCAATCAACGTAATTGGACGATCGTCGGGATGAGGGAGCAGGAGCCAGAGTGCTGGACTGGTTTTAAGGCACTCTTTCTTTCATCGAACCGTGCAACGATTCGAACGAATCGTTAAAAGAAGAGAGAGAGAAAAAAAGCTCCGGCGATAAACGAGTATGAGCGGCGTACTTCGAATCGAAATGGGCGTTTCTGTCAGATCGAGAATATATGTATAATGGTCCCGATCCCGACGTCGATGCCGATGTCGCGTTTTCGGGAATATCGTTGGTTTCCCTGAAAAAAGAAAAACAGAGGAGCCTGGGAGAAACGTCATTCTCGGCCACATGTCAGTTCGTTCCACGTGTTACCAATTATCGGGAGTTCTAAACGGATCGGTTCATCGGCAGCTTAGCCTCGAAACTCACGAATGGACCTTTTATGAGAGACGGCGGCGGCCGACGATAAAATGTTAATTCCGGGAAATACCAAGCGCGGATGAAAAAGACCGCCGCGTTTTTTTGCCATGGCGACCCATGTCTTATAATCGTCACATGTGGCTAACTAGATCAAAAAGTAAGAAAATTTTATTTAAACTTTAACAAAAAAGAATATTCAAAAATCAATCTAAATTTATTTTTAAGTTTAATTAAAAGATTGATTTATTTTCTCTTCGTTTTCTATTAAATACATTCATCTGGTTTTTTATATAACGCAGAAAAACACTCCCAATTAAAAATTAAAATTATTTAGTTAATGTTATTTACGTATATGTAAAAAATTATGTATGGTAATAAAATTAATATTTGACAGCTAACAAATAAAAATTAAAAACATAATAATTCTGTATTCTGCTGAGTAATTTTCCATATTTGTGTCTTTGTTTTGCAAAATTTCACAAATTTATTTAACGAAGTTTTCCTAATTTTAACGGAACGCTGTAAATTAAAGATTCCGAAGAGTGAAGAAGATTGTCAAGAGACTCCAATCTTGACTGTCTCGTTTAAAGGAAGGATCGATACTGAAGAAGGAATACCTTCCGATAGTCTCCGCCTATTCTTATTTAAAATTTAACATTATACCACTGTTACCTGCATCGTTAGGTATATTTTATAAATTGTCTGCGAATAATTTTAATTATATATATATATAGATTTATACGACAAAAATAACTATACTTATGATAAAAAATAATAAAATAATTATACATTATTTTATATAAACTAATTTAATAATATAATAACATCATTATTATAAAGATGTACTAGTTTCATATTTATAATTAATTATTTCTCTTCTGTCTACTTTTTCTTATGTTTCGATCATTATTATTAATAATGGAAAATTTTCACTTCCTCTGATATCCCAAGAGAATAATGAGTTCAAACGAGGGTTTCCTTTCCAAGGGCGAGTTTCGATGCGCTCCCGGACGAAGGTCCTATCGATCTCCTTACTTCCGCGCGCGTGATTCATCCTTCTCGAAAGGACGCGGAGCGATCTTTGACCCCGAAACGCGGACGAGACGCAGACACGCAAACCGACACACGATGGGGGTAAATAAACGCATTTTCGAATGCACACAACGGGGGTTTCTATGTACAGGGTACCCTAGAATCATAGGACGGCTCTTTGCCTTTTGGTAGATTCAAAGTTTTTTTTTTCCGGAAAAGATCAAGCATCAAATTAATTAAAAAATAATTGACTGAAAACGAGGAAATCTTCTAGCGAATTGAGAATTCCCCTTTTTAGGAAAGAAAACAGATGGCAAAATTATATTTTGCAATTAATTTCGAGCAAACCTCAACGGGATTTAAATTCGGAGTTTATAAATTACAGAAGATGTATAGTAATTAAAAAAATGGAAAGTTACGATAAAATACAAATGTCGCTGTATATAGATTGGTCAAAGAAACTGCGGCCGAAAGAATTAACATTCGGCGTTTCTGAGACACCCTATATGCAGCACCCCCACTGAGTTAGTCATCTAACGAGCGAGAGGTCGATGTATGCCGCGCATCATCGTGGTCGGATGCATCAACTGACAAGCCGCTAACCAACGAGAGGGGTAACGACGGATCGCCCGAACGGTCGATGGCGTCGATCACAAAAGGAAGGGAAAGGGCATCGCGACGTTCCCGTCGTGTACTTTGAAGACGGAGAATTGTGGCTTACTATGACCAACTAGACCGCGATAGGAGCACTATTAGCGAAATAGGCTGTACGGTGCAGCAGGCCGTTCGTTCCCCTTCAATCCCGGCCTGATCTTTCCTCCTCGAATGATCGATTATGACTACATTATCAGTTGTGATTAGTATACGGAATGTCCGACAACACGGAACCTTAATTCTAAATAATAACTTCGGCAATCACATTAATGTAACACATTAGTATATTCACATTTATATTGCAATCATACAAATATAGATTAATATTAGTATCAATGTTGTTAAAATTAATTTTAATCGATATCGCAAAAAACGGAAAGTTATAAACATCGAAGCAGTTATTTAAATTTCTATTTTTCTATTCTTTTGATTACACGAATCTACAACGCGTGATTATCGCATGTAAACAAATAGAAAAATTTTAATTCATAATTCAAATAAAAATGTGTAAAATAAGCATACAAAAAGGTAGTTTTACAAAATAAATTTACAAAAATAATTTTCCAAATGAGAGATATTGGGCTCTTCAGTCATCAGTGTTAGATTTTCGAATTAATCACGAAAACGCGTGTAACGCGTCTTTTATCATGTTTAACAAACTTTGTAAAGTCGGTGATGTGAGGCGCGAAAACTTCGAGAATATCGTCGAAGACGAGAGGAGAATCTCGCACAAAAACGTGTCTATGCTTAAAGAGAAAGAGAGAAAAAGGGAGGCAAGGAGGAAAGAAAGACAGTCGAGAAAGCAGCTGCGCCTAAAAACCACCCACGACAAAGCGCGAACCGGTTGAAGCGCAGCATATTGCACCCCCGCCGCGACCAGAAATACATGTGTGCGTGTGCAACGTTTATCAAGAGAGAGAAAGAGACAGAGGGGGGAGGGAGAAGCGAGGTCGAGTCTTTGGGACGATCCTAAAATACATTCAACCACCATTTTATTCTCGAAGACGCCGCGAAGAAACAAGTTTCTTCGCCTTACACACGGTCGGCCTTCGATCGAACAGATTGTTCGAAGAATGGATAATATATCCGAGAGATAAAAAGTAGCGTAATCAATATCGATTACAACAGCTAAGAAATACATAGATGCACGTGTATATAAAATCTTTTAATAACGTAATATTGTAAAGTATAATAAATAAACTATAAATTAAAAAGGTAATATGTAAGATGTATTTATTATCATATTTATTAAAGTTAGTAGTCGCGCAATAAATTATCTTGACTATAAGAATTTATTTTTAAGATTAATGATCTATAATAGTTATCATCTGTCAGTGTTGATTATGACTTAAATATCAGCAACTTTTATTTTAACGTTCCACATTATAGATCACTAACTGTTTACTTTGACATTTCGTCGCGTTTGATTTTGTGCCGATTGAAATTTTTATCGTTACTTATTAAAGTGGACGCCAATCGAGTAAAAACGGAGAAATTTCTAAGAAACCTGAATTCA